ATCACTAAAGTGGGTTATTAACCTTGTGACCCACGTAAATGAAATGCAATAAAGTGCATCATTCAGCAAACAGTAATTACAAACCATCTATATCATGGTGTATTTGGGCTCACTTATTTGATGTGTGTTTACACATAACAGTGCATATTGTCAACAATTTTAGATCTTTGTGCGCTATATTTATCCCAAGCGTAACACATTAGCCTGAGAATATTACAGAAATTTCATGTAGAGTCCTCCGTGCCCATAGTTTCAGTTTATTGTTATTAATCTAAAGCATTAAGGGAAAAAAGGGCCCTCGCGGGTATTAAAAAATCTTGCTATGCACATGAACAAAGACATGAATACTTGATGGACATTAAATCAGGTGGCAGACTCATTCTCAGCAACCACTCTTACTGTCTAAAGACCAAGTTTATGACTTAGATAAATGTCAGGATAACTTTATTGTTTTTTCTTTTGTTTTAGATTGTTTTGTTTCTGGGGGATTTTTTTAGGATTACTTGTCTAAATTTGTTTTTAAAAAAAGGGGGATTGCCATTAATTCAGACCCGGAAACAGTCCTCCTTAGAACAGTCCATTAATCCTATATCTTTCTAGCCAAGCCTTTTTTTTTTCCTCTTTCTTTTGTTTCTGTTAGTTTCTGACCTCGACCCCACTCCCACCCATCTCTTGCACTTGCTCACGGTCCCTTGGCACAAAATAAAAGCAAAGAGCTTGTCAGTGACATAAGAGAGCTGTTTTCACTCATGAAAGACATTTCACAAATGTCATTCAGGTCAGCAGCTCCCGCTGGTAATCATGCTGGGACAGTGATTAGGTGAAATTAATCGCCACCCTCTGTTGCTCATGGCTGACAGCCCGGAAGCCTGATAGGCTCTCTCTTCTCAGGTGACTTTGGCAAGTCAGGTGGAGAGGGTGAAAGACATCAAAGCCAAGAAGAAATAGACAAACCCACGTTAGATTAGCACCCAGGAGACAGCACTGAAAAAGTGTGCGTCTGTGTGTGGCATGTTGGTGTAGGTGGAGTGGGGCAATACGTGTGTTTTCATGTAGGTGTCTGCCTT